CTTCCAATAAAACCATACCCTATAGCTTTATAGGTAAAAATACAAAGGAATAAAAATATGTTCTGAATTCTTATCATGAATATGCATACTAGCCTCAGCATAGGCTTACCTATACATACAGAACTAGGAAAAAGAAGTTGTAGCATTAGCTTTTGGATATTAAACTTCCAAAGACTTTGCATTAATCTTATTTTTTTTTATTATTATTAACAAGAACATATCCCTCTCCTTTTTCTGACTACTGGAGTTTGGTTCAAAGCTTTATGCAGTTTCAGTAGAGTTTCGCTACTAGGACAGGCCTTTGGGCATTATCAGCTAGTTTTGTAAACAAATTTGATTTGTATACCATCATTATTACAAGATGGTATATAACGAATAAGAAATATACTACCTAATTTTTCCAACATGCATTAATCCAGAGACATAACCTGGGATGAACATGTAATTTCAGCTAATATCTCAAGCTGACTTTGCCCCAAACCAGATGAGTCTTTGCCACAGAAAGCTATTGTAGACAAATTTGTTGGACAAACATCAAGCTGTCACAAGTGTTTCAAAACTACTTTAAGGTATTGCCCTAGAGAGTAGCCTCAGATACTATTTATAAAGGGGCAGATCTTCTTCATTCAGCACAAGTAGTTCCATCAAAAAAACACCAAACCAAAAAAACCACACACTGATGAACTACTCACATGGGTAAAGCAAAGTGGATGTGATGCCCATTTATATTTTTACTGCTGTATAACCTAAAAATTTCTTGTCCCTGGCTTCTCACTTATGGTCAAGTTTATCACCCCAGGCCTAATTCTGAAAAGATGCTGAACTTCCTGAAAGGTCCTGAAGAAACACAGCCTCTATCTGACTTGGCTGGATCAGGCCCTTGGAGTGACTGAACTACAAATATGACAAATCAGGTATACAATCCTGGTATCATAAAATATGAAACTGAAACTATTCCCTGGTGCTTTCCTGTAGACCACATGTTTTTAAACCTTAAAAAGATCTATTTCCCACTTTTCATGCATAATCTGCCATATTCATTATTTGAAATATCCCATAAAGAGATTAAATAGGAATTAAAGTCTGGGAGCATCATATCCATCACTGTGGTACAAACCGATGCTGAATTCTAGCAGTCATTTAGCCTTGTATGTAAAGGCAGTGCCTGTTTTCACTTTGTTTCACAAAGAATAAGGAAAACACAATACCCCAGAAGACTTTCAGATGTGTTGTTTCCCCTCCAAAGAAAAGGGTGGATGATAAAGCTACACACACCTTTTAATCTTCCACTTAGGGCTTTTACACATATATTCCCTGACAAAAACCCCAGGGTCTTCTCTCTCTCCCCCCTCCCCTTCTCTCAGCCCCTTTCCTGCCATCTCCCTTGCTATAACTCAGCTAACCCAACAGAACCAGTCAGTTTTAAATTTCAGTTGGGACCCCGGTGACCTGTTAATGAATCTACAGAGAGGAGAAAAACTCACAGTGTTGAGTTATGCCTGGTGTTGCTAGCTGACTTGGAGTCAGAAATGCTTGAAGCGTTAACGTAATTGCAAGAATGTGAAAAATGAAGCGTTGGGCTCCTGAGCAAAGCGAAAGGTCAAAGCAAGCCCTACACAAAACAAGTCTGGAAGATGGCCTCATTAGACCATTAAATCAGCTTCTTCTTTTTCTCCTTTGTAAGATCTTTAGAGTGTTTTATTTTTATTATTGGATATATTTAACTCTTTCTCTTTCCAGGGCAGGGAGAAAGTTGATCAGACATACTACATAATTACTAATCTCTAAAATAGTATTACACGGCATTGGTCTGCATTTGTGGATAAAGTCAATAAATGCTTGGTAGATTACAGGTCACTAGTACTTTGGTTTGCTAGATGATCAATATGTTGTATAGCTTAGTTTTCTGTTGAACAAGTGAGGTGACATGTTAAGAACAACATAGACGCTCACCACTAATAAAATTAGGATAATCTTTCAACATTTACTGCCTGAAGGCCCTTTCCTTAACTCTTTCAATGCCAATGTGTTTCTAGTAATACCAAACATTGACTAGTTTAACCCTTTTGATGCCAAAGGGCAGTCATGCACTGTCATAGACACTGTCCTCCAAGAACAGACAAAATGCCTACACCTTTTTTGTTTTGTTCTAACTTTAAGAATTATGGATGGATTCTTCTGTGTGAAGATAGACCTACCTCATGCAGAGAAAGTCTGCACACCTTTTTTGTTTTGTTCTAACTTTTATGGATATGGATGGATTCTTCTGTGTGAAGATAGACCTACCTCATAAAGTCTGCAAAAAAAGTCATCACTCACCCAACTCCTTTCCGTCTCCCCCCCACCCCCCCCCCCCCCCCCCCCAAAAAAAAAAAAAAAAAAAAAAGAAAATCACAAGCTGCACATCATAGACTTAAGGCAAAAGCAGAGACCCCTGGAAGAGTGCTCCCAAGAGCCAGAAGAGACTGACTCCAGTTTGAATCAATCTCTGCTGCCACTAGGCATCAGCAGAGGAGACCATAAGTTGCTAATGTAACCCAAGACTCTCTAATGAGCTCCCATCCCCGAGAAATCCTTTGGGGCAAGTGGAATACTTGAAGCAGCATTTGTGGAAGGTCTTGACAAAACCACAGGGAAACCAAGTTGACCCAAATAAGTAACTGCACCAGAATAGCTCAAGAGGGCATCTACCCATCTTGGCATTGCCTGGGACCGACTCACTGCCAGTTCACAAGTTAGAAAGTAAACCCTGCCCCCCTCAAGGAAGCGTAAGGAAAATTCAATACAGGCCTCCCTCTCTTTAGTCTTTCCCAGGGTTGAGGGGGGGAGAACAATCCAAAGCTATCTCCAATGGGAATTTTGCCGGTGCTGTAGGATCATACATCTTTCAGCTGCCAGCAGCTGAGTGGAATGCTGATTTGCCACTGGACGACTGCTTCCTTTTAAAAGGGCCCAACTGAGCACAAAGGGAAACATACTAGTGATGTTTTACCCTGCTAGACTGGGCAGCACTAGTGACCGATTTGGCCCTTCAGTGGTTGTTCCCCTTCTGCAGAAATGAGCATAACAGGTTTGTTTAAATCATATATATTACCAGAAACCTCAGTCTCCAATGGGAAGTTGGTGTAGTTATCACCAACTACTTTTTCTTATGCTTAGCAATATTTCTCGAGCACCCCGAGTTACGTGACACGGGATCGGAGACTAGTGAAATGCAAGATCCCTGGATGTCGATACAAGGGATTTCTTTACATCAAGCATGGCTCGATGAAGAAACTCTTCTAATTTCTAAGGGGTTGCTGGGGCAGAGTGGAGATACAGGTGTGAGGAAATTTCTTACCTAGGGGTGGAATGAACACGCTGTGGCAGATGACTCAGAGGAATCATTTTTAAGTATGCAAATGATCATCTGCTACACAAAGCATCTTAGCCACAAGATACAATGTAAACATCAACAGTAAAGTCTATGGCCAGCTAATAGACATAACACCGATTTGCTGCTTAGCAGTCAAGCTCTCCCGTTCATTGGCTGCTGAAGCTGTAATAGTTCACGCTGGGCCTTGTACAGCTCCGATCCAACCACATAGAAAAAAGCCCGCGTGACTCATGGTGGAGCTGGATCACACCCTGTGCCATGGCTGCTTTCTATCAGCAATAAGATTACAAATGTATAAACAATTCATACAAATAGGAGACAAACCCAAACCACTCTACCAGAAACAAACTTTGCAAGTTCCTAGAATCGCAATGGGTACGACACCAGATCATGAGACAGACGAGGGGATCTAGCTCTGTGCCAAGCAGTGGGCCACGTGAGAGACGTGAAATCACGTATCTGCTCCACTGCCTAAGCGTGGCAAATATCATGGTGGGAAGCAGTCCGCAACACGAGGCTAGTTGTGGCAGCTCTAGCCCTGAAGGCTGCTCCCCTCTCCAGTTTTGGGATTCCACATGGCTAGTTGGATGGCAGACCTGTCAGGTGGCTCTGTTGGGTATATGTAACCCCCACGTAGGGGAAATGCAGTGGCAAAATGCCACAGATGCACGAGATGGAGGGAGCATATCATAAGACCTTATAAAGGTAATGTCTCACTCATTAGCTGAAGTTTACCATGTTTACAAAGAAAAACAAGAATGGAGCCCACCTTAACCTTTGGTCTTAAAAAAATCAATTCTGAGTCAAGATCCAAGAGTGACAGTAGACCACCTTTACCCAACTTTTAGCACTGGAGGCTTGACTCTTATACCTTCTGGAGTCACTTATACGTCTAATGAGCAAGTGTAAAACACTATCATATCAGAATGACAGCCTTTGACACTCACTCAGCATGGATGCAGGTGACTACAGACAAGGTGCAATGCAGTAGGAAATAAAACAAAAAACCCTGAAATAATAATCAAACCTCCTGAACCCTTGAGAAGGCTTCACTGTATAGATCCAGCAGAGGTTTTGCAGTTCAGGTACATCTCTATTCACTTTTCTGAATTCAGATTTTCAGAAGCAGAAACAAGTCTGTACAAGCAAGCATCGCAAGAAACATTTTTCTGTCCAATCCGAGTTTTGCTTCTACTTTATATAATTTAGCAGCTTCATAACTTCATATAGGAGTCTCTTCCCCAGCTAAAACTACAGGTTAAATTATCCGTCTATAACCCAGCTCAAACAACTGCATCACAGCTGGAGAGTATGTCTGTCATTATATTTACTTACACCACACAAAAATAAACTGTAGATAACCAAATTTGTAAAGGAATTGGCAGAACTAATCAATTGTTATTACAAAGCTTGTTTGAAGATTAGATATTTCGCTTTGAAATAATAATAAAATGCAGCTAAGTGGGTTAGGAAAAGGAAATACCGTCTCCCTAAGTTACAGCTGATTATACTGCAAGTCTGCCACTCCATGTTTACTCTAAGGCAGATGTACTGATATAATAAAAAAAGCTGGAGTTATTTTAGTCATGCCTACTTTGCGGAGGGAAAAAGTTTGACCTTTTACCTTGCTCGCTGCTGTTGTCTCCGCTCTGGGAAGCATGGCCCCCACTGGAGGGCCCCGGTGTGCCTGCCGAGTGCGTTGAGGTTGCATCATCGTGGTCTCTCCAAGATGAAGGATTCTGGTGTCAGAGTGCCAAGGAATTTTTTCCACAGTTCCCATTCCAATAGCAAATGAAGAACAGAAAGAAAACCAGGAGAAGAGGGGAGGAGGGGGGGGAAAAGCATACACATTAGCATTTGTGAAATGTGCCAAACACCAATACTGTTTGCACAGTGTAATAATTCTTCAGCAAAGACAAGCAGAGGAGGTACAAAGATTTTACTTGGTAAAATAAAGGACAGATTTTTTTCTTTTTTAAACTTTCCAAAGAGTTGTCTGGATTTAATTGTTTGAATAGTACTGCAGAAGAATATTTCAGGGGAGAACAAAAAAAAAAAAGTTTCTTAATGAGCTATACAGGGGGACAAGGAGGAGAACATCAACCTGCACAGTTTATGATAGTAGGTGTTCATGTTAGGATCAGATAGTCGGTATGCAAACTATGTCCCCGCACTTTGTTTTTCCAGACTGACTAAAGATGGGAGAGGAGAAGAAGAGGAGGGAAACTGTTTCAAGAAGTAGAGGAGAACGTGCATGGGAGAGAAGCATGTCCTCACACCCTACCCTCACTCTCACCCATCTGAATGCTGGAAGAACTTCAAGCAAATGCAAAGTTGTGAGGGAAAAAGCAAGCTTTCTTTGAAAGTTGTTATATACCAGGAAAGATGCTCCCTCACCCCCCCCCCCACCTTGATATGACACATTTCAAAAGACTTTCTAGATGTATTACTCTAACTCTAACAGTTCGCTTACAAGTATTGTCAAGAATAACCACAAGGTGATTATATAAAATAACATGTATAGCGATTTTTATGTAATTCTTTCTACATTACTCTGCATAAAACACGACAAAAGAGAACGCAGAAGACAGACACATGAAGTTTGCAAAACTTGGCTAAGTAAGACCTCAACTACTGTACTTTAGTCACATAATTCATGCGAGCTTTCTAATTTATTGAGTATTGGCTTTCCCGGAGCGAGGAGCTGCTACTTACAAGGATAAGTGAGGAAAACTTAATGTTACAGTTTAGTGCTACTTTGTTGAGTGTATTCTCCTCCTGTCCTCCTCCCCTTTCCTGATCATTCCCAATACCCTGCTGTTGCTTAAAGGAAAACAGGAATTCTACTGTACAGGAAGAGCTTTATCAGCACCACATGAAGGCAGGCAAGAGATGGAATTTCCTCTGGCAGAAAAGGAGAGCAAGAACACATGAAACAGATCAGACTAGGGGCTGGACCTGTATTACTTGTCACCTGTATGTGACAACTTAAATCAAGCACATTATAATAATTCAACAACAAAACAAACAAAAAATCCCCCCTCAAAAAAAAAATTATTGCTTCTTCGGTTTGATTGTGTTTTAAATCTGCATTGTGAAATAACACCGGACTATTAAAGCACGAGGAGATCCTGAAAGCAGCAAGCGACAAGTTTGGATAAATTCTTTGAGCAGGACTGATTCTGACCTCATCTACCCCGACGTGTAGTAGGAAAAAGTTCAACAAAATCAACTGATTTACCCATTGTAAAATTCAGTGTAAGTGTGATTGGAATCAGGTCCCAAAAATATATATTGAAACATCTCAAAGTAATCTCCTAGCACTGATTAGTACCACATGCTCTATAGCAACGCAAAATAGAACTGCCAAATAACGGCTTGCTACAATACCCAGTAACATAAATCTAACGGGCCTGACCCAGATCACAGCAGAGACAAAGGGAAGAGCCCATGACTTCAAAAGGTTCCCAGTAAAGCCTTAGGTGACCAAAGGGTAAGAAGGAATCCAAATCCCCTTCACCTTACACAGACACACACGTGCACCCATGTACATAGTTCCACGGCAGGAAGGTATGTGTAAAATCAGAAGACAGGCCAGGATCTGAAATTCGCCTAACCTATCAGCACAACAGACGGGACGACAGCACTTAATGGCACAAAACCACCACCCCCTCCAAAAACCAGAAGTCTGATAGACTTTTCCTCACACAGAACCACAACAGGAAAAAAAAACCCCACCAAACAATAGTATTTTATATTTGTTGAGGTTGTTGTATTAATTAGGTCACAGAAATCACTATTAATACTGTAATCCCCCACAATTTCATTTAAAAAAAAAAAAAATTACCATCATTTTAGAGAGTCAGGTGGAAAGAAACACAAAAAGAAAGATGAGAAGCCTTAAAAGTTCCAGCAGCCCAGATGTCATGAAAAAACCCAAAAATGTTGAAAATAAGGTTAGCAAAAAGTTCAGATGGAAATAAAATACAAAAACCGCGCAAGTTTCTTTACAGCCTGGGTTAAAACACAGTTGTGCCTATGAGCTTCTCTTTTTATCTCTGAGTTAGGAAGCCACTCAAATAGCTTCAAGCTGAAGGCAAACAGCAGACAGGAGCTCTTCAGCCCTCTGCAGCCTCTTAGCGTCAGCTGTTTGCCGGATGGTAATCAGATAAAGAGCTAGAAGAAATACATGAAAAAGGAAAGAAACAATAGCATAGCATGAGTTTAGCCCTCCAACAACATCAGGCTGGAACCTTCTTTTAGAAGATGTAATAATTGCAACATGTTCACCTAGGCTAAACTTTTCAGGGAACACAGTGAGTTATGTTAATTTTATGCACTGCAGGCTCTCTTAAGCTGGCTGCTGTTGGAGCTCCTTATCACACATATGAAAATTACAATAATTAACTGGTAACACCTCAGCTATGTTTTAAGGCAAATGTCATCCAAAAGCTATCATACAGTATTTCAAAAGCCAGACCGGCCTTTCTGTTTCAAAACTGTAACGCTTTGGAAAGGATCACTGAATAAGACTTCCCACAACTGAAAACACTTGCTGTCTCTACCAGGCTGAGTTGTTCTTGACCTCAGTTTGTAGATCCCGTTTTAGAAAGACAGACCGTATTGGTTGGGAATTCAATGTATTTCTTGTGACACAATTTTCTTGAGGAAGCAATTTGGCAGAATTTTGTTGAAGGACAGAAGTAATAAGATGGGATATTTACAAGATGCGGCAGTAGAATGTTGGAGGAATTTGAAAGGGAGGGAAATAGGCTTTAATATTATAAAAAATGACAAATAACTCTAGGGGTGGAGTTTACAGCCTCATAAAAAGGCAGCATTCTTTTGCTTTGGACTAAGATCATTGTACGTGTCAGTGAACTTCTCTTTTTCTCCCCTAGACTGTTTCCAGCTTTGCATCCCTCAAGAAAAACTTCTTGGCCAAATGCCTAATCATAAGTAGTTATTTTATGTATGTCTTCACAAAAAAATGGGAACAAATGGCACATCTAAAGTGTACTTCACTGGAAACACTTTATCGGTATAGTTTAGGTACCTAAAGAGATCCTGATCTAAAGCCAGCTAACATTAACTGCAATTTTTCTATTAATTTCAATGAAATTTGTATTAAGCTATCACACTGTTAAAAAAAAAAAAAAGAAAACCAGATACCTTTAGATAAATTACACAAACTGTTAGCACGGCTTCTCATATCTTCTTGCAAGTTTAGTAATATACTTTGCAGAAACACGTTGAAGAGTGTGGATGATATCTGCCAAAATGCAATTGCCTGTTTCGTGTACGTGTGCATACTATAAAATTTTCACACACATATGACCTAAACTAATGCCAGATACCATAGAAGGTAAACAGCACACATGTATCTATTCCCAATGGTTTTAATAATTGGGAGTCAAATATGGTGCTCCTCTTGCTCTTACCTAATTGTGTTAAAGAGCAGTGTTACCAGGAGAAAAGCAGTGAATACTGAGTAGAGCACAATAGAAGGAGATGGAAAATAGATACAAGAAGCTAGGTCTCCAGGGGCGGTATTTTCTATTTGCTGGGCTACAGACTCGCAGCTGATAATGCAAGTTGTAATTAATATAAAAGCAGGAGACAATATGGGGAAAGCTTGTACTAGCAGGGCCACAGGAGATCACTCCGCTGCTATCCACTGTTTCTCATTTACACACACAGCCTTCCCTAGAAAACACAATTTTGCCAGTGTTTTTTCCCTTGAAAGTTAAAAAAAAATTGATTTAGCACCACCATTGAATTTCGCTAAATCTGGAAAAGAGCAACAGAAAGGACAAGAGTCTCCTGGTATACAAAGCAAATCTGATGCGTTACTCTTTTGTCGATGCTGCAAATCTGATGGAAACTGTAAGAGTTTTTAACTGCTACAGAATTTTTTGAACAGAGATGTTGTAAAAGAAAAATTTGATATAGGATAACCTTCTGTTAAATTGCAATTCTTACTTTGCACTGAATTTCCACTGGGCAAAGTCTGGCTAATTTTTTGTGAGTGTATGTAGTCCCGCTAGGGCTGGTCCTGATCTCACACTGCCTTTTATGGTGATATTAAAGACTCAATTAACCATAAGGAATTTGCTTCTTATTTATAACTGGGAAGTAAAATCAATCAGGCCAGCTGATACCCATGTGAGTAAGCTGAGCAGGATTTGGCTCACAAACGTTAACTGAAGTTTTAAGTATACAACTGTGACAGGATCAGGCCCTTACATTTTATCAGATGAAATGGACAAAACCATTGATCTTGCAGGAACAAACGTAACACAACTTACTTTCATAAAAGAAACTACAACAGCTATAGAGCTTGTTCTTTGTGAAGATGGTTGGACTCAAAGGTCTGGAGGTTGCTCTGGTAAATTAATTTTGAGAACACAAAACTGCACTGAACTACTGATATGGATGGCATTCTGCCGCCCCCCCCCTCACCCCCCCAGCCAAATCCTGCTCACCTTGTTCTTACAAGTAACACTTGTAAACACAGTGGAACGACTGACATGATTGATACCACAAAAATCTGTACCTAGGTACCACCATATATCAAAAGATGATATACTGTGCTGGACATAGAAACCTATACATACACACATATGTGTGTTTCTGTGTGTGCATCTGTGTGCATCTGTGTCTGCCTACATTTTGTATGTATAAAGTTCAGGATGGTATCTTAGAGACAGTCGTGGAGTGCAGTAATAATAAACTTACT